AACCTCTGCTCCTCAAGATCGAAAGGAGTCAGTTGAGGTGGTTTGGGCATCTGGTCAGGATGCCTCCTGGATGCCTCCCTGGGGAGGTGTTTCGGGCATGTCCTGCCGGTAGGAGGCCCCCGGGTCGACCCAGGACACGTTGGAGAGGTTACATTTCCAATCTGGTCTGAACGTCTAGGGGTCCTGCCGGAGGAGCTGGTGGAGAAGGCCAGGGAGAGGACGGTCTGGAGCTCCCTAGTTGGGATGCTGCCCCCGCGACCCGGACCCGGATAAGCGGAGGAAGATGACGACAATATTCAGAAAAATCCTAGCTCCGCCACTGGTGTAAACAGTACTTAATTGACTCAACTGTGCTTTAATAAAATGCAAATCTAAATAATTAAGGAGGGATTTGAATTAGTAAAAGAAGAAAGCTCTGATGTGTCTGATGCCTGCAGGAGTTTTAGTAAAAGGATCCAGGAAAAGAATTCCTTAAAATTTAGAGTAAAGATTTTAAACGATTTATGTAGCTCATCAATATTCAAGTGTGTGTGTGTGTGTGTGTGTGTGTGGTGTGCACATTTACATTTTGATGCATAATGAGCAAGCCCATTGGCCATATTTACTATTGTAAATAAATCTGTATGCATGCATAATAGTCGAGCAATTTGGTGCGTTTTTGCCACAATTAACTAAACTAAACAGCAAAATGTATCAGTTTTTATTTATTTCTTGTGAACTTTCTTATTTCCTCACTGGTGTAATGAAAGATATTTCATTAGTTTAAATGCAATGTGAGATTAAAACTTTGAGACAAACTTTCATGAAATTAACTTATTTAAAAATAGGAACGACTTTATAGTGTGGAAACTTCTGTTTTTTAATCTAAGAAAACAAAGCACGGAAGTAATCTTTTTGGGGTATTTAATTAAATGCAAAGACTTCTCGAACACTGTTCGTTTAATTAAAAAGTTATTTAAATCAGAAATGTCTTTCAAAAATATAGCAACTCAAGGGCCAAAATAACAGTTTTTTTTCAGCTGTCGAGATGTATTAGTGGATTTTAATATACTTGTCAAAACATTAGCGAACAATAAATCTGTGACATTTTTGAGACACAGGTAATCATTGTTATGTCACATAAACATCAGATTGATTAAATTTAAGCCAGAAACTTTGAATAGTTTTCATTATTAATGAATTAACTTTGATCTTATAATTATAATCTATTTCATATGTTCTAAGGATGTCTCGAGCTGATCACATGATCAGAAATCCGCCCGATCACGTGGTTTCAGACTGATCGGGACTCGGGCTTTACTTCCCGATCTGGACTCGGATACTGGGTTCAAATTACAGGAGAGCAACTTTGTTCTCCTTAAAGGTTGTCAGGCTCCCCTGGTGCCCTTAACTTACACCCAGAAGGACAAGCACAAAAAAGATCCAGTTTCTACCTATATTATATTATTTATATGGACTCAGCGTAGCGGGGATTCTTTTGAGCAGAGCAGCAGGCAGACCGCTGATTATTCATGAACTCCAGCTGCGTTCTGCACACGGCCACAGTCACATTTTCTAAGTTTCTAAGTGGCGTCACCAAAAATATACAATTAACACACAGTCATTCGTGTCCGTTCATTTTCTCTCCGGTAAGTTCTGTCTGTATTTGAGCATGACGTGTGGACGCGCTCGCGCTGCCCCCTCTGCAGCGCTCTTCACTGGAGCAGCCGGGCAGCGCAGCACACACTCCGCTTGTTTTGCGGTCAGTAGATCAATTTGATCTGCTAGTTAAAAAGTTACTTGTGGTGAAAAAGAAGGAAGCAGGCAGGAGTTTTTCTGAAGGACTGGGAGATGCAGGAAGATCAGAGACAGATGGGACAGGAAGATAGGAAAATAAAAACCAAGAAAACAAAACAAAGTTCTTAAAAAAATAAAATGTAGGTAGATTTATCCCACTACACGTTTGTACCTGTATAAAGCAATAATTTATCAGCATGTAGTATTTATATAGTTGATACAATTCAGATCATCTTCAAAACTCCGTCCCATGCCCAGGGACGTATCTAAGCATTTTGTGGGCCGAGGCAAAATAGACCCCTGCCGTGTGGCAAAATAGACCCCTGCCAGGTATTTTCAGTTGAAGTGCTATTTGTTTTTATATTAGACTTTTTATATTTGCAATAAAGTCCAAAAGTGAAGAATTTATTTTATTTATGACTTGGTTGTTCAGGCTACCTCACAGAAGTGATCTGTTGTTAAAAATTAAAATAAAAAGGTAATGAAATAAAAAATAAGGAACATTCTGGAACTGTTTCTTCCTTTTCTTTTCTTTTTTTTTTCATGTATCGAAAGTATCGGCAGATTCTCAAAATCAAATGACTCGGACTCAAGGGCAAAAAACCTGATCGGGACATCCCTAATAAAAACATAGAACTCAGTTTTCAGAAAGTGGGAAAAAAAACTGCTTTAATGGTTTTGTCCTTTAAAAGTAATTTCGGAGAATAAAAGCTTTTACATGAAATTGAAAAGTTATTTGAGATCAATAATGATTCAACCTTCAGTTAAGATGGGTTGAACACCACAGATTGTCTCTTTAAATGCATCAGAAGAAATGAACGATTGCTTGGAACATTTGTAAAGCCATTTCTCATTATTAAGTTATGAAATTCCAAAATGCTTTCGATTTTACTCAGAAACAAAGATAAAATCGGCTTCATTTAAGTGATGATGGACCTTGTGTCATCTCATTATAATCTTCTCTTTTTGTCTGACTTTTCCTGTGATTCGTGGAGAACAAAGAACCTTCTGATTTTGCTTGACATGAAGGAACTAAGAATGAACAATGACATGTTCATAATTCAGGTCGCAGGAAGCATTAATAGATAGTTGATTCATTACTCTAACTGTAAATCATCGCACACTTGCTGACATTTCAGTGAATTTACTCCAACATCTGGCAAAAGAATAATTGTTTCATTAAAGGAGCAATATGTAAGAATCTTACAGTGAAATAATCAAAAACTAATACCTCAATCATGTTGGAAGGACGGTTATATTGTAACTAATTTTTTTTTCTTAGCAGGCCGGTGGGGTTGTCGTTTTTTAAGAGAGAAGCAGTCATTGTTTACAATATAACCCCTTGAAGTTGCTGAGTCTGTGCCAGCAAACGCTGCAGCGCTGGCGCGCCGATATTTGTAGTTCGACACTGGCCGGTGAAAGACCCTAAGTCAGTAGACAGCAGCAGCCCATAAGTTATTTCTTGTACTCGTAACCCCTACTTCACACTGGAAGCATCTTTTCCGCCATGCTCCTCACTGGACTAGTAAGATCACAAAATCCCTCAAGAATTCAAAAGTCATTGTTTGTTTATGCCATCCACCATTAAACCATATAGAGGGAAATCATGTTTGATTGCGCTGTGTGATGTCATATATGACGTTGTTCCTCTCCAGTCATGAAAAACACACTGTTGCACTTCTAGAATAATGCTGGGAGTAAAAAAGGCCATTGGGTCACATGTATTGATGTAATCTACACAGATACAAAATTTCACCACCACAACAGCCTTTAAATTTGAAAGTTACCGAAGGTTTTACACTGAAACCGTGTGTGATTTTCATGTCTAGCCCTATATAAACTGCAGAAATTGATGTGTTGCGGCAAAAATACAACCCAACCTCAACATTAGCGGTGCGGTGCAATGTGGCGATTTGTGCTTCTTCTGGGACTTGCCTGAAAATGTTCATGCCATTGCTGGTTTGAATCACCCCCAAAGACTAAAATGGATTCTATTTGAAACAGTGACTTTCCACTGCCGTTCCTTGCTGCTGATGCTTCTAGTGTGAAGTAGGGGTAAGAAGCCACAGCATCTTTTTGTTTAACTCTAATATGTGTTGAAGGCTAACATTGAGCTAGCAATGCTAATGGTGCGTTAGAAACAGTCGGCTCTAAAAAGTATCTCAAGCTACTTTTTCAACTACCAACAACTCGATATTACAGTAAAATGTATTTATCCACTTATCAGCTCACTGTGTATGACTCACCTTCACTCGTCTTCTAGCAATGATTTGTAACTGGCAACAGCCGTGAAACTCAAACCGGTAGTAAGAATGTCACTCGTGTTTGGAAAATGGGCTGCAGTACCCACATTTGACCACAGGATGTCAGTCTTACTTATTTGCACCTCATGTTTCATACACAATTTATTATGCTGAATGAGATCCTAATGAATCAAGATTTTTACTTCAAACAGACTGAATTTAATTTGATGTTCTAGTTTAGAATGGTGGGTTTTATAAAGTTACAGGATGAGATCAAAACAAATGAAAGCTGATCTAAATGAAAAAAATAATTGTCTTTTGTTTGACCTTTTGTGTGACGTCACGGTTCCTGGTTCTCGGGTCTGTTACAACATCTCAGAAATCTTCATGCAGAGATACTGATTACCACAGTAAGGGTAATCCTCAAAACCTTCCTGTGGCAAAGGTCTTGTCTTGTTCTTTTTTTTCTTAATTTTTTTCATTTTTTTATCTTTTTTTCTTTTTCTGTCCTTGTCTTGTTTTTAAAAAGTGGAGATTTGTAAATTACCTGAATAAAAACTTTTTTAGCAGCTATTGAAACAATTTGTTAAAACTGTGGTATTTACATGTTTTTTGTTGTTGTTTTTTGCAAGTATGTGATATAAGAAATATTATTTCATTGCTTTTTTTAATAGTATTTTCACATTTTAACAATTAACAACACATAATGACCTAAATGAGATGTTTGATTTATTTCATAAGTTAAAGTGAATTATTGGGAATAATTTAACATTCAGATGCACACTGCTAAAGTAAAATCAGGAAAAAGAACAATTAAACAACCATCTACTTGATTTATTCTTTATTTTTTTGCTGATGTTTTGGATTTTTGAACTTGAGCATAGCGGCAAGATGATGAGGCTGATTGCCTACCTGCACAGTTACAGTTATATGACAAGCCCTTTACAGACTCCTCCCCTCTTTGAACAGAGAACCTAATTCCTGCGAGGGTGGATGCTCAGGCTCCTGCCCAATAAAGCTGCCAGTTTCAGTCCCAGGATGTGTTCACCCGACAGCCGAGCTCTCTAATCCACTCGTGCACTCAACCTGTTGACTTCTCTGTCAACGCAGCAGACGTCGACCACTCTGACTTTTAAAGTATCTGTGGTGACAGGAGGCGTGTCTCAGATAGTTGAAGAAACCAGCAGGACTTATGAATAGAAAAATCCCAAACACAACAGGGACTGAGAGAGACAGATCACATCACCGTATCCGGTAAGTTTTAATAGCTGATTTCTATCAATGAAGTTGATTTTAGCATTTTTTAAAGAGATGAATAAGCTGCCATTTGACATGATGATCTGACCTGATGCACGATGCCTAAAGAATGCTCCATGTGACATTTTGTCATAAAAAGTCTCTGTTTTAAAGTCTCTAGTGAAGCTATAAATGTTTTGCCCAGAGGCGCCTGTTCTGATGGGGATCAGTATTCCTGGCCACATCATTCACACACCAGGAATACATAAGTAGTCTCATCATTTTCCTCATTGTTATCTTTGCCAGAAGGTTCCTGTACTGGTCCAAGTGTCAGAGCATAATGGTGGCTTTTAAAGGGATCTGGACCAAAAAGTTCTGGAGGGCTGTTTCAGGAGAATACCTGGCCACTTTAATTTTTGTCCTCCTGAGCCTGGGCTCCACCATCAACTGGGCTGCGGAGAAGGAGAAGCCTCCCCCGGCCGACCTGGTTCTGATCTCCCTGTGCTTTGGCCTCAGCATCGCCACCATGGTGCAGTGTTTTGGACACATCAGCGGCGGACACATCAACCCCGCTGTAACTGCAGCCATGGTCATCACTAGGAAGCTGAGCCTTGCAAAAGCTTTGTTTTACGTGATGGCTCAGTGTTTGGGAGCCATTTCAGGAGCTGGGATTCTCTACTTAGTCACACCTGCTGCTTTGCGGGGAGCTCTTGGTGTGACCATGGTAACAACTTAACCATCTTCATTTTTAATCTCATGTAACATCTTTTAATTTTAATCAAGGGGAATCTTTTGTTTCCAAGGTGAACTCTAAGATCTCAGTGGGACACGCCCTTCTCGTTGAGCTCTTCATCACATTTGAGCTGGTCTTCACCATCTTCGCCACCTGTGATCCCAAACGCAAAGACCTGGGTGGCTCTGCGAGCCTTGCCATCGGCTTTGCTGTGGCTATTGGTCACCTATTTGCAGTAAGTATCCTCCAGAACATTTAACTAAATAAAAAATAAGTTAGGGTAGCTTCAAACAAGTGAATTATTCTCATGCAAATGGATACATTAGAACAAGGCATCTGAAAAATTGATCTAAAAAAACCATGCAACAGCACACCCACCATTACAACACTGCAGACAAAAGCTGGCTCTGAGATCAAGTGAGCATTTATTAATCTGTGATACACTTCTCTGTGATTCACACCCATGTGTGCAGGCTTTTTACTGGAGGTTGCTATTGCATGGCAACCAATCTCCCAGGGCCTCCTGAGCCCTGCAGAGCAAACAAACACACAGAGAAAAAGACATGATCTCACATACTGCCTTCCTGATACCTACTTTGTGTTCATGGTGCTAATGTACACAACTACACTCACCAGCCACTTTTATTAGGTATCAGGGAGCAAAACAGCACTGCATTTGATCATCTAGAAAGAGGAAAAAAGCAGGATGTGAGTGTGAATGCAGTGTGGCTTTGGGCTCCGGATAAACTGGATATTTCAGAAACTGCAGAGCTACTAGGATTTTCTTTCACAACCAATTCTAGGTTTTCAAGCAAATTCACAACTGGCTCAAGACAGAACTGTAGCTGAAATGTTCACTTGTTACAACCAAGGTACATGTACAGAATATCATTTCTGAATAATCTGAAGCATATGGACTACAGCAGTAGCAGACCTTATCGGGGAACCCTCTTGTCAGCCAAGCATGGGCGGCAGCAGAGGCTGAAATTCACATAAGAACATCAAAATGGAACAATAAGTAGAGTTGGGCATCGAGCATTAAGCATCGGTTGGAACTGAGATTAATTTTCACTTTTTCCCTGAATTGTTCAAATGTTTTAATTCCGATTTCTAGTTTTGATACCAAGTACAACGAACAGAAGAAGAAGCCGCCAAATACCAACAAAGAAGAATTTGCTTTACCACGCAATCATGGAAAATGTTCTAAAGGCGTTCTAAAGTGTGGCTTCTCTTCAGAAAGTTAACGGAATCAAAATCACAGAGGAGTTTGGACCATTTAAGACCTAATGTTAGCTGGCTCGTTTACTGACTCTTGAAAGAATCAGAATCGCTTGGAACCAAAATTGTAACGTGGGATTTCAATTAGAATCAAAATCATTCCAATTCAACCCTAACAATAAGTGATTGGAAACATGGTGATGAAGTTCAGCTACTTCCAGCAGGATAGAGCACCCCTCTGAATGCTGAAATCATCTCACATTAGTTCACTGGACTTCAGTGGCATCCACCATCACCATCTCGTATCAGTCCCGAACAACTGGGAAGTTATCATGACAATTTGAACCATAACCACTGAGGAATGTTTCCAACACCTTGTTGAATCAATGTCATAAATAAGGAATGCAGTTCTAAACTTGATGCTAGCAAAGTGTATTAGAAAATGGTCAGCAGGTGTGTTGAATCCTTTGTTTTTCAGATTCCTTACACAGGAGCCAGCATGAATCCTGCTCGTTCATTTGGGCCCGCAATGGTCACACTCAATTTTGAGAACCACTGGGTAAGAGATCCAATCAAACATACTGAAGATTTAGATGAAAAAATTACCCGTCCAACTAGTCCAATTACCATTGCCTTTTGTTAATGTGCACTTGTGTTTATTGCACTAGCTTCTACCGTAAATCCTCTAATATTAGCCCATTATTTAATTAACTGCCGGGTATCATATTTTGTCCGGTGTCGGAGTCGACCGAGGTGTATAATGGCCGGTTTTTTATTGTGGCCGGGTGTAATGTGGTAACAAGCAAGTACGGGGGGGGGGGGGGGGGGGGGGGGGGGGGGGGGGTTGTGTCATCCGTCTCACTTTTGATTTGCCGGTGATAGACCGCGAGGGTAACTTTAACCGTGCGGAGACGAAGAGGAGGTGAAAATTTGATATCAAGTTCAAAGAGAACGTGCTGATTATGCTGCAGAACACTCTGGGGAGCAGTAGCAGGGATTGTATGAACTAGTCGACTTCACCGCTCTATAGTGACTTTTTATGCCTGTCATCGACTAGTCGCTGTCACGTGATAATGACCGGCAAGATGCAGTCCACGGAAAAGACAGCAGCCTGCTGTCAGCAGGTGACAAGCTCCTGCACGTCGGGAGGCAACGCGCTGTGCCAAAGCGTCGGTACTGACACCTGCCGTAAAACGGACATTTAACCAAATTGTGACGTTTACCCTCTTGCAATTTAACATTCCCCTCACCCCCATCCTAACCTTAACCAGCTTGCGCATGCAAAGCTGTGATTGTTGACGCGCTCCAGACATCTGCGTCCTGAGCACGGCCACAGTAACATTATCAAATTAGGTGTTGCCACCTCAAAAACAAATTTAACACGCGATCGTTCATGTCGGCTCATTTCCTTTTATGTTTTCTATCTTTTATTCGTTTATTTGTGCCTGATGCGTTTCGCTGCTGTGGATCGGGGTGCATCACCCGTTTTGTCCTCGGTGACGCACCGATCACTGATGTGGCCGGGAGCACTCCGCTGTTTTTGCGGTCGGTAGATCTTTTAGAACTGCAGTTCAAAGGTAACTCATAAGGTGAATATAAATGAACCCAGGTAGCAGTTTTCTTTAGGACTGAGAGGAGATGCAGGAAGATAATAAACAGGCAGGACAGAAAAATAGTCAAATAAAAACAAGTTAGTTTTTGTACCTGGCGGTTGCAACAAACAGACACCATTGAAGGTAATCAGAAGTGAGGAACTGAAAATGAAATAATTATTTTAATGTTTAGAGCAGCAGGAACTCCGAGAGGCTGCAGGTGCATCAGTGAGTTTGCGGCCGCTGCGCAGGGGGAGGGGGGAGATGGCTGAAGCAGAAACTACAGTTGTAAAAAGAAATGTGTTTAACTTTGAAAATGTGGACGCAATTTTAATTGTCAAAAACTCCAGCGAACCATCAGTTCATTTTGCTCAAATAGAAATTGAGGCCTGCCTCTAATACTGGTCCTCCTTCCAATAAAGGCCTGGAGCTTGATGAGCTTGAGTCAAATACAGGCCCGGGCCTGTATTAGAGGATTTACGGTATACATCTAGTGCAATTTTGGACTATTAGTTCCTTATCATTTATTGGTTAGGTAAAAATCAATAAAAAGCTGTCACGGGTACTTGGTAAAAAATTTATAGGAGATCAGGCCACAGGGGTTGGCAACCCTGGTCCTCAAGTGCTGCTATCCAATGTGTTTTAGTTGTTTCCTTCCTCCAACACACCTACTTCAATGGTTGAATCACCTGTTCACCAGGTTTTCAAGCTTAGTAGAAGCCAGTGAGTCACTTACTGATTAAAATCAGTTGTGTTGGAACGTAGAAACAACTAAAACATCCTGGATAACAGCAGTCAAGGACCAGGCCTGGGACTGACCAGGACTGAGTACCTGTACTGTCCTGACATTGAGATAAACCCTGTTATAGTGTTTCATGCTGCCAGCAAATCAACTCAAACGTAACATATGGTCGAGTTGATGACCATGTTTCGAACAAAATAAGCAAAAACACAAGTTTGAATAGAATTTTTGTCAAAAACAGACTATTTGTAAATATTTGTGTAGCTTCTAAGTAGTCCATAGCATGATAATCTTGACGGTTCATTTTGGTTGTTACCAACTAATTTGTGAAGAAGGCCATTTTTATAACTTGTAATTTATTACCCTGGAGGTCATCATCACGTGTTGATGCTGTTGGCACATGCACAGATTGTGCAAACACTGCATATTAAACCAGATTACTTATAAAAAAATGTTCTATTCTTCGTACTGTAGGTTTATTGGCTGGGGCCCATTCTGGGAGGACTCCTGGCTGCAGGTGCATACGAGTACCTGTACTGTCCTGACACTGAGATAAAAAAGAGGCTAAAACAAGTCTTTAAGAGGGACCAGTCTGGCAGATACAAGGAGGTGGAATATGAGGATCCTGTCATGAAGGCAAGCTCAATTCATCATATTGATCTGGAGAAAGCTGAGAAAAAAGACCCTTTCCAGGAGTCGCCCGGCGAAGTACTGTCCTCAGTATGACTATCACGTGCACTGGAAATAGAGACCAATTTGTAAAAGAAGAATGGCAATCAAAGTTTGAAGTATCTGTCTTGGGTATGTCCCCTCCAAAGCAGAATATTATTTCTGTCGAAGATACAGCGAGGCTGCTTTAATGTCTCTGCAATGAAGCAATTTTGTTATTATGACTAAATCCTGCTAAACGTCTGCAGCCTGTTCAATACTCCTCCCGAGGACCCCTCCAAATGATTTTATAACAACATTGTCATGCTGCAGACATTTCACTGTGCAAAGTGACAGCCAGCGATGCATTGTGTAAAACAAATATGCGTTGGGGTCAAGTAATTATGTGGGGGTCATCCCGTTGTATTGGGGAAGTGGAGAAGAAAATGCAGCCTTGTTATTTCTGGATTAGTGTCACATTTGGTCTGCCTTCTGCACTTGCAATAAAAGGAGCGATTGTCCTTGTGATCATTAAGCACATTACGGGTCTCAGGCTATGTGAGGCAGCTCTGACAAGTCGGACTGTCACTGTTGTGTTACATTCTGTTTTCAGTGCACTAATCATGGAAACAATTTATTTTTGTGAGGATTCATCTTCTATCCTCTACATGTCACCATGAAAATGTGCTTATTTGTTTTACTTTTAAAATGGTGCAGATTAGTTTTAGAGGGAATATACATTATTGGGATGGTTTTTGGCACATTTTCTTCTTCTTTATGATCCTCTGCATTTATTTATTAAGGGGTATTTGGTTTGTATTGTTTTCTTTTTCTTTTTTTTCTGTTTTGCAGACTTTGTGTTGTAATATTCCATTGAAAGCCATCTGGTCTCACCAGGTTGTGAGTTTTATGATATTCAGTGTTGGGCAAGTTACTTCAAAACTGTAATGCATTATTTATAACTTGTTACCCTCATTTTAAAGTAATTCATTACATTACAATATTACTAATTTTAAAATGTATGGCATTACACTACTTTTACTTTAAGTTATTTTCACCAATACAACTTCAATATGAATCTGGTAATCTGACCCTCGGTGAGCTCATGACATATATGTGGAAAGTGATGTGGTATCTGAGCTAGGATTGCCGTTAAAAACAGTCAGATATAATAACAGTGCTTTAAAATGATTGTTTATTAAATAAAAGCAACAACAATCTGTTCTCTCAGCACGCTGCCATCTTATATTAACTGAGCAGGGAGTGAGGTGGTGGGGGCTCCAAGCCTATATTTGCCTCGGTCCCCAAATGCCTTGATACGGCCCTGGATGTGGGACTGACTTCTGGTGTGATCTGATTCTATCACATGTATAAATATTAAATGCTTACATATTATTGCTTTTCATTGGTAAAAATGTGTATTGGGGATAAATCTACCTACTTTTTTTCTTGATTTTTTTAAATAATTTCCTGCCCATTCTCTGTCTAACCTTCCTGCATGCTGCATGTTTTCTCTGTCTTCCAGAAAAACTGTTTCCTAGATTTCCTACTTTCTAACTAATCAGCCAAAGGGATCTACTGAACGCAAAAAAATAAATAAATAAAAAATAAAATAACTTCATATGTGCTGCGCTCCAGCAGCAATGAGTTGAAATCACCGGGGCACAGATTATGAACTCAGCTGAAAAGTACATGAAGTACCAGAGAATATGGGCTGATTTAAATGATCGCAAATGAATTAATTTGTTTTGGTGGAGCGATTTTGTGAATATAACAGCGGCAGCGCGCAGGACGCAGCTGGAGTATTTGAGCAGTTACTGCTGCGTCCTCTCTGCTCATAGAATGCCCACAAAGCTGAGTCCATAAATGACGTCATATATGTGGATACTGGATATTTTTTCAGGCTTCCCGCAATTTGAATTTTTAGGAAACCCACATCTTGATTCTGGGTTTAAAAATGCATTGTAATTACTGCGTTACTGACAATTGTACTGAGTAAATATTACCATTTTATTTCCCTGTAATGCCTTACATTACTACATTACAGCTAAAAGCAATGCATTACAGTAATTAATTACTTTTGTACTGCGTATCTCCCAACACTGATGATATTATAAGAATGTAAACACTTTTATCTTCTGAAACTGTTTATTAAATTCTTTAAATTCTTTAATTTTCTTGAAACCATTTTCAAAGTTTTGTTCGTCTTACAATTTCAGCATGTTACTTTTAAGTGTCAAATAATTTAAAATTGTTTTTAACCTGAAATGTTATGCATTCTAAGTCCTGCTGGTCCTCTGCTAGGATTCAATTGGCCAGCAGGACACGTGCATGACGTCACATGACCAAAGGGGCAGGGCTTGATTGGCTGGATTTTGTTTGACTTAATTCTGAATGAATTCTTCATCCTTGTGTCAAACACTGAAACTCAATCTATGAGGACAGCAACGTTGATTCTCCATAATCCAATAATCAGCCCTCATCATGAACAATTCAATATTTTTTTCATTCAAATTTCATTAAATGTCACAATTGGACTATTTTAACTCATAAAATGACATTTTGATTTATTTAACAGTAAAAAACAATGTTAAAGACTTTAAATTAAATGTAGAAACATCCATCCATTGAGCATCAACTGAATTGCAGTGTTGGTGTTGTAAATCCACTTCCTTACTTTCCTCCATCACTGCACACAAACTGAGAGACGACAAAACAGAATACAGTTTATTGATTTCTCCTTCTCTGTGCTGTTTGGCTGCAGAAGTCTGAAGAAAAATCACGTGAACTTTGGATTTTTCATTTGTGTTACTTGCAGTGGGTGCAGAAGAGATTCAGACCAGTGATGTATTAGATCATCTATCTCTCCATGATTGCCCTCTGATGCCAAATAAATGTCCATTTTGTGTGCCGTGCCGCTGAGAATAGCTTCATGTAATCTCAATCCATCAAAAAAGGGCAAAGGGAATAATCCCGTTTAGTGATGAGAAATAGAGATGATATTCTGCTAAAAGCAGAGGCGCTTCTGAATCTCTTTCAGCTTCAAATGATTCGAATCATACAGCTATATTCCATTTTCCAAGTATATAATACTTATATAATGTTGATGCTAAATCAAAATTGGTTTTGCTGTCATATAAATCCACTTCCAGTTGGACATTGAAAATACTCTAGCCTCACCTACTGGTCACAGAGTAAAATGTCCCGGCTGTTGTTCCTAATTCTGTTTGATTTTGTCCAGAAGAGGGCAGCCATCAGCCTGAAATGTGCAGCTTTGCACTTCAAACTTTAAAGACACATGTCAGTTTTATTCAGCAGTCTAAGCTGCATTCCGTTTGATATTTGTCCAGGCCATTAATTCACAGCTACGTGAGAGGATTAAGTGTTGCATCCTTCCAGAAGACCCAGCAGTCACATAGGAGCATAAGCAAGTTAATAATGAAGCGTTTTCTTCGGTCAGCCTTCACATTCTTGGCACATGGATGCCCATTTTCCACTCAAACTGACTTAACTGAGTGTCCTTGTTACTTTCCTGTACTTTGGATTAAATAGTTTGCCGCTGAATTGTCTTCTCTGAAAATGTGCTGCCTGGATGTTGATGCTGGAGAGTAAAAATCCTCATCTTTGTTTGGTAAGGTGTTTGAAGACTTGTTCATTTTCAAATTATTGTATAAAGGAAATAAATTGGTGTCAATTAGTGAGATTGCATCAGACAGTTGTGCTCAAAAATGACGACACTTCAATTAGGATAATCAAATAAAAAGTGACAGGGAATAGTAGGTCAACAGTGGGCTTATCAGCAAAACTCCCATACATGTGACTGTAATGTTGTCATAACCAAAGATTGAGTCGCTCGTTGCAAAGTGCTTATCTAACTGAGAGCAGGCAGATTTATGCAAGCTCAAACCTCAGATGCCTAATTTTCAGAAAGGCGAAGAGATAAAACACACACCTTAAAGATCATTAGCAATTAACATTTGGGGGATTCGCGGAGAAAAACAGCGTTAAACACTCGCTCAATAATTCATACTATAAACAAGAAAGTCTCCCACTTCCTTAATAATTTAGACGTAAGCTAATGTTGATTTATTCAGGAAGGTCTCTGCCACCAGCAGCGCCTGGAGTGCCCAAATTTGAATTAAAGTAGGACAGTAGCAGGCGAGTCTGTAATAACATTTGTATAATTTTATTATTGCTCTGGGCTCAGTTCATTTCCTCCTCCAGTAGCTGCGTGAAATTGTTTGATTCTTGAAACTGCCTTGAGTCTGCGGCTCTGGGGTTGGAGGGTGGTACAGGAACAGGAAGGCATGCGACACTCTCCGTCTGATGCTGTCAGACACATAAACACACACACAAATCTACACACACACACAAACACACACAGAGAGAGAAGCAGATAAATAACTTTGTTATTCTGGGTTTTGTAATACTGTTACATTGGCTCACTTAATAACTCAAGCTGTCTCAAGAAAATGATTGATATTTTCACTTTGTCACTTATGATAAATATTTGACTGCCTTCATGTGAGATAGAAGAATAACTCATTCATTAGGTCATTGCATTGTAAAAATGTGAAAGTTTGTATTTCTGCCCACATCCAGAAGAATGATGGTTTTATTTTGTTGTAAGATTTCTTTCAAGGAAAGTCGACTTGTTAGGAAATCGGTTTTGTAAAGAAGTTCCTCTGATGATCTTTCAGCAGTTTTTCTGGCTTTAACACAAACAAATGTTTAATTGCACTTGGCTCATGGGGAAGAATTAAACTCCATAATCGTTTTTTGGTGGGGGGGGTGGGGGGGTGGGGGGGGACAAACCTATCAAGACTCATGCTGTGATTTCCAGTTTGAGATTTTGTTTACCAATGATAGGACCATCATTTCCAAAAGGCTAATCTACAAAACTCTGATTACTCTAACACAAACAATCAGGTTTGGGAGGTATTAGCTCACGTAACACACACCTGAGACCCCAGTGGCTTTGACGCGGGAAAGGGGGGAGGTGGAGAAGTTCTGATTGGTTTCCTCGAGGCTCTGCTTCCAACTTCCCACCCGCACACATTCCCTCACTCCTCCTCATCCTCCTGCTTCAATTCCTTTATGCAGAGCAGCCCAAACTGCAGTTTGATGAAACACATTTGTTTGACTTAACTCTTGCCTCGCCATCACGGCTGAATCTCAAAGGCCTGTCGGTGTAATGTGGCCCAACAGCAAATGGGTTAATGAGAGGATATATGTACAAGTGTGGGACTTGACCTGAGGAGCTGTTTTCCATTTGGGTTTGGTCTGCTCATGTTATTAGGGAAACCTTTATTATTGTTGCCCTCTAGTGGGAACCATATAATAGGATTACATTTTATTAGAGCCTCCCAGCATTACCCAAGTCCCCCCCCCCCCACCCCACCCCACCCATCCCACCCGCACCCTCCTCTGCCACCTCCCATTCTCTTGTCTCTGCTCCCCTCACCAACGTCTCTGTCCACTGTGGGTGGGATGGTTGTGTTTGGGGGTCAAGGGGAAGGCCAACAAGTGGGAAAACAGCTCAAACACCAGAGATCCTTGTTGCCTGGGAGAATAACGAGACTGTGGAAGTTTTCAGTCAAACTGGAACAATTTCAGAAACAGAGCAGAGAATTTCCTTAGTCACGCACATTTGCAGTCCGTCTACTCTGTCAGAGAAGCACAATTTTTAATTACGCCCTCCCTGGACATGGCTCGTGTCGTGCTACAGCAACAGAGATATCCTCTGAAGCTAAATGTCTTTGTGCCAAAGATAATATTTGATGAACAGTTCTGGCCTAAAACTGTGCAGCCCTCTAGGGCAGACTGACTCAGGATCTGGAAGAGCTTCAACACTTTCCCTTATCCATCCCACTCCCTTACATAACCACAGGCCATGAGAGGGGCGTGGCGGGGGGTGCTGGTAACGTTGTCTGAGGCTAAACCAACATCTCCAAGCAGGCCGCGCGCTGACTCACATTAACGATGCAGGATTTATGTACGAGTTGAACTGTGTCAAGATTATTCATTAAAGGTTTGTGAAAATATCTTGATGTCCACTGAGACACAGACTCCCTCCATACTGTAATCTGCTGTAGCCATTATGACAACAACTACAGTTTGTGGCAGAATTAACATTAAAATACAGCTCAAACAAGAACAAGCAACAGACATGTTGTCTGCGCTTGGGATTTACAGGAAAACAGCAGATTTTAATGTGCAGAAGAAAAAGA